ACACCCCCGTGATGGTGACAGTGACATCCCATTGTCCCCTGTGACAGTGATACCCCTGTGATGGTGACAGTGACATCCTCATGATGGTGACAGTGACACCCCACTGTCCTCTGTGATAGTGGCAGCCCACTGTCCCCTGCAATGGTGACACCCCCGTGATGGTGACAGTGACACCTCATTGTCCTCTGTGACGGTGACACCCCATTGTGCCCCATGATGGTGACAGTGACACCCCACTGTCCCCTGCAATGGTGACACCCCCGTGATGGTGACAGTGACACCTCATTGTCCCCTGTGACAGTGACACCCCTGTGATGGTGACAGTGACATCCCCATGATGGTGACAGTGACACCCCTCTGTCCTCTGTGATTGTGGCAGCCCACTGTCCCCTGCAATGGTGACAGCCCCGTGATGGTGACAGTGACACCTCATTGTCCCCTGTGACAGTGACACCCCATTGTGGTGAGAGTGACACCCTCATGATAGTGACACCCCCGTGATGGTGACAGTGACACCCAACTGTCCCCTGTAATGGTGACACCCCCGTGATGGTGACAGTGACACCCCATTGTGCCCCATGATGGTGACAGTGACACCCAGCTGTCCCCTGTAATGGTGACACCCCCATGATGGTGACAGTGACACTTCATTGTCCCCTGTGACAGTGACACCCAGCTGTCCCCTGTAATGGTGACACCCCCGTGATGGTGACAGTGACACCCCACTGTCCTCTGTGACAGTGACACCCCCGTTATCCTCTGTGATGGTGACACCCGTGATGGTGACAGTGACACCTCATTGTCCCCTGTGACAGTGACATCCCCATGATGGTGAGAGTGACACCCTCATGATAATGACACCCCTGTGATGGTGACAGTGACATCCCATTGTCCCCCATGATGGTGACAGTGACACCTAGCTGTCCCCTGTGACAGTGACACCCCCATGATGGTGACAGTGTTACCTCATTGTCCTCTGTGACAGTGGCAGCCCACTGTCCCCTGTAATGGTGACACCCCCGTGATGGTGACAGTGACACTCCCATGATGGTGACAGTGACACCCAGCTGTCCCCTGTAATGGTGACACCNTTTTCCTGCATTTCCTGTAGGATCAGGGCTCTCTCCTGCCTTTCCTGTAGGATTGGGATTATTTTCCTGCATTTCCTGTAGGATCAGGGTTTTTTTCCTGCTTTTTCCAGAGCCTCCAGCAGGCCTGGAGTGCAGATTTGATTCCCAACCGGAATCTGAGCAGCAGCAAATCAAGGATTAATCAGGTGCTATAAATATCAGCGTCCCTCTCCCATTCCCTTCCAGCAAACCTCAGGATCTGCGCATTCCCAAAAATCCCCTTGTATCCCTCCTTTTATCCACCTTTTCTCATTCCACATTTTTTCCACGGGGAGAGAGGGGGAATTTCCATTCCCGATTCCCGGGCACTGCGGGTTTAACAGGTGGATGAACTTCCCGAGGATCCTCCAGGTGGAAGAACTTCCCAAGGATATTCCAGAGCCCTCCATCATCCCGGAATTCCTGCTTTCCTGCATCCAGGAGCCCCTGGCGTGGCCATGGCAACTGGTTTTGCTTAAGTGCAGCTCGAGAGCGGAGTTAATTTTAGATGAAGTGAGGAGGGAGCTGCTGCAATCCTTGGATTTCTCCTCCCGGAATGATTCCCAGGAATTCCTGCGCCACGGCAGCCGCCTAAACTTCATTATCCAGGGAATAATTCATTATCCGTGGAATGACAATGAGGTTTGGGTTGGGAGGGGCCTTAAAGATCTTGTTCTGACCCCGAGTTATTTAATTCTGACTGATCCATGGAGTTGATTCTGAGGAAAGGGAATTATCTGTTATTCCCTCAGTTCAGGAGGACATTTTGGGGCTGGAGCGTGTCCAGGGAAGGGATGGAGCTGGGAAAGGGTCTGGAGAATCCTGAGGGAGCTGGGAAAGGGTCTGGAGAATCCTGAGGGAACTGGGAAAGGGTCTGGAGAATCCTGATGGAGCTGGGAAGGGTCTCAGCCTGGAGAAAAGGAGGCTCGGGGGGAATTTCTGGCTCCCAGCATTTCCCAATGTCTGAATTCCCAACATTTCCC